GAGCATTGTCGTTAAGTTGTCTTCACAGTTATAATCTGAAAGCTGTGTTGCTTATTGCTTCAGCGTGTTTGTAGCACTTTTACGACGGGTGTAACATGGTATTGGAACTGTCCTGTGTAACAACGCTTACTTGTGAATAAATTGCATGTTGATTCTTCCTCAAGTGTTACCATCAATTACTCCAGATCCACGAACCACGAATGTGGTTCTCAAATGAAAAAATTCTGAGAAACTAGAAGGCGCACAAAAAGTTTTTTTTTTTTCCCTTAAATGGCGTCAAGGACGAAAGAGTTTCGATTAAAGAAAATAAAAATTACAAACTTTTGTGTGATTTTGTTCCTGGCCTGGGTGCCGAAAATTCCAGGCATTATCTGGAATATGGACGCCTTCACTCTTTGAAATGGGTTACATGCTGGTGAGAGCTCAGTTTTTGCCATCTGATTTTACTGCTTTCTTTCTCGCCGCCATCCTCAAAGATCGTTTGCAATAACAGCAAAGGAAAAACAAGAAACTGAACTAAACTAGCTGCGGAGCTTGCGACTAAAGAAGACATTCTTGGCTCGTTTTTAGATTTTCATTGACGGCGGAGAGGAACATATTTTTCAGTTTACCCTCTCTTCTTCAACAGTTTGACCATTTCACCAACTCCCTTGCCGGTTACTCCTTGATGATGTTCTACCTCAAGCCTGCTTTCATTCTTTCCATCACCTGAAAGTTCATTGTTTCTTCATAACGATGTTCTTATTCACAGCTGGTTCTATTTTCATTACTATCACTTAACAGTTCCAATTTCTTCATAACGATGCTCTTATTTCCTGGCGAGTTCCCTTCGTCCTTTTTGCATCTTGTAAGATGCCATAGAGTCATCAGTGATTAGGATAAGTACCATCGTCTGTTATTTACAGGATACCCCACTTGCAATGAGATACTTTTGTAGTTTTTCCATCACCCAGTATCTTTGATTATTTTTACTTCATGTGATAATGTTATGTAACTTAATTTTAAAGAAATGCTAAATGTTAGTAATCCATAATCACTGAATACTTAAAGAAAATTTAAATGTTTAATAACTAATAATTACTTAATGCTTTACCTCCTGGGTATAAACGTTAGTTCCCATATTTTCTTTTTGTTTAAAAGAGATATAACAAATCAAAAAAAAAAAAAAAACTTCGGATAATTAGTTTTTATTATTTGTTTTCCTGTTCCGTTTACTCTTGCTAAAAGGGGCTGTTTCCTCATGTGTATTTGTTTGAATTTCTTAAAATACAAAACAGTATTATAAATGGGAGATTTTAGTTTTAGTTAAGAGTTTTGAAGGGTTTGAAGAAACACTACAAAATGAAAGGTTAGATAATCGCAAAATATCCATCCATACACTCAAAAAAATCAGTTTATTGATTTCAGAAAACTAGATGAGGGTATTTTACTAAGCTCCTTTCGCATTCTGACGACTGGGAGATGAAGCCCAAAATTCGCTTATTTCACTTTACCGTATCATCAATCTCTCAAGAGAAATTGTTGGGTTAACAGATTTCAATGCCCCCATTTTGAACAAATATCATTTGTCCGTCATTCGAATGCGGATCCAAAGGATTTTCTAAGCCATCACCCTGCATTAATTACCGTAGCATTCGAGGCTTTCATAGTCTCAGTATGGATAAAAATAATGTAACGGTACTTTTGATTTTTACTAAGATACGCTGGTGAGGATGCATGTATGTGGAAATGAATGAAAATATGAAACCATAGCGTGTCTCCAGTTTTTTGCGGGAGAATTTAAAAATAAAATTGAAAACATATTTTACTGTGTCTGTTATTACATTGAATTGGCGGAATATTGAGCAGCTAATTTTTATAATAATCAAATGTATGTAGGAATAATTCTATAAATATATCCTTCAATATTTTTATATAATTTAATAGCCACAAGATTTTCAAATTACGTAATGGTACAACTAACGAAATCAGGACATTTTTGCCTAATGTTTATGAATCAAGGAACAGCTACTGTATCTCAGACACTTGGATGTTTAAATTATGTGGACTTTCTGAAAACTATATTTTGTTGCTTGATGGCCATATATGAATATATGAATATATGTATATATATATATATATATATATAAATTCATCTAAATTATCCCATTCTGCTTTGGCTATTGCAAGTGTATCTATATTTGAATTCTGCATTAGAAATAATAATGGTATAAGGCATTTCTCTCTCACTTTCTTAGTCTGCCTTCATAGTGTAGTGGTCTGCACGCTGGGCGCGTGTCGAGGGGTCCGTGGTTCGATTCCAGACAAAGGTGTTGCTCCTTTTTCATTTTTCCTGCTTCCAAAAAAATACCTAATGACTCTACAGTGGTGCTCGAACTAAAAGGGTGGCGGGTGATGATTCTCTACACCCACGATTTGGCGAATGGGTCCTCTAAAAACCCCAGTCGCTCTTCATATAAGTTATAAGCAGTGGGCGCAGCCCGACCCACCTAACCAAATGAGTTGGTCTCATGGTCATAGCAGGCCACGCCCATTTCAACAAAGGAGTATGTAAACTATTTCTCCCGCCTTCCCAGCATGCCTTCGTAGTGTAGTTGTCTGCACGCTGGACGCATATCCAGAGGTCTGTGGTTCGATTCCCGGCGAAGGTGTTGCTTATTTTTCATCCTTCCTGCTTCGAAAAATACCTAATGACTCTACAATGGTAAAAAATGTAAGCCCTAAAGGTACATATATAAAATATGACAGGATAGAATGATTTTTAATGCATGGAACATGGCAAAGTAGATTAGAGAAATATTAAGATATATATATAGATATTTCATTTTAATTATATAAGGTGGCTGTAAAAAATTCCCCTGTTATATGAAACTCTATTGTCCTATCCGCTTATCCAATGGAAATGAAATTTCAGATATTTTTATTTGAAGGCACGGGCTCAAATTTCGAGGATTTGAAACAATAGAGCTCTCACGGTTATGATTACACTAAACAGATTTCGAAGTTCTCGAATAGCAGCATCAACGTTTTTCCTTAGCAAATTGATCAGTGCATTGAGAAACCATAAACAGCATTGGAATGATACATGTATGATGAAAAATGCCGGAGTAAAACATACGCAAAGAACAGTATTGTAAAGATCGAATGTTATTCAAAAAGATGAGCGGGGAGAAAACTTTGTAATTACAAGCTTTCAACGTGCCTACCTTCGCACACGATAAGACATTGTATGCGGAAGTTAATTGACAAAAATGACGAATGTAATATCATAAGAGGAATCTGTATTAGTTCACATTTTATGTCATTTTTCAGTTCTGATGAATCTCGCAGTTTAGTGTTAACAACTTAGATGTCCTATAATCAGAAACCCATCAGAGTGAGGGATCGCAGTGGACGCGAAAGGTTTCGGGAATGACTGTATTTCCAAGGTGCCATAGCAGGTCGAACACATTTTGCGAAGAGTGGAGCAGCACCATCTTGCATCCACACAGTGTCATTAAGGACATTTCGCAGCTGCAATTCTGGAATGACGTAGTTCTGCAACATTGCTGTCACCAAGCATTTGTGATGGAGCACATTTTCATATCTGTGGAAGAGACCTTTTGAAGAAGCACGGACCGAGAAGGAATGCGCTTGCAATGCCGCCTTGCACAGTTACTTATCCTATGTAAATAATGAGGATTTTCGTCAGCCCACTGAACGATTCGGCAAACAAGCATCACAATTGTGTGAATGTGGTGCGGTAGGTGATGCAGATCACTACCTCTTCAACAGCCCACAAACCGATAAACTGCATTTAAAAATGCCAAGCAGTAAATACTGGCTACAATGGGCGTAGAATACCTGCGGCAACAAGCAGACGAAAACTAAAATAGATGAGGTGATCAGGCTATGCTCAGCAAGGTACTAAGAAATTCCCCCCTTCCCTTGAGAATTGTATCTTCGCAGCAAAATTTTAATAGCAATTCGAAATACTACAACAACTGAAAATCAACACTAGAAAAATAGCTCACCCCGTAGAATAGTAACAGGACTGTAAGAGCAAAACTATTGTAATGTAAGCATATTACTAACCAGTTTGTATGTACTTGATAAAAATAATATTGTAAAGCAGTTTAAATGATACTGAAAATCAAGTCAATGTGTAAATGAATTACAAGTTTACTTTGATTATCTTCGTAAAAGTATTGTAAATATGAATTCAGATAATGTTTAAATGTACACATAGCTGTCATGATTTTATGTAATTATCATACGTAACTTGTACAAAACAATGTTTGTAATCAACATATCTATGCTTATACACAGGCCTTGTATGCCCATGTAATGTTTATATTTATATTTTTACACGGAGGAAATATTCCCTTCTGCCAGGATGACTATTAACACTGTAAAGACTTACTGTACGACAAAGTCAGGTCAGTGTTTATCTCAGGCGGCGCTCAGCCCACTGAACGCAGTTCTATGAGTTTACGCTCCCGGTTAAGGAGAAATGCTCTGCATCCGTCCTTAATAACCGCAGTGGCCGTCAGCGGCAAATGTTTTACGCTGGTAATTTTCCTGGTACAAGTATTGTTCTAATATCATTTATGGCTCTTTAATGCGCCGATAAATTTAGGCAAAAAAATAGGGCATTGCCATTCGAAAATTTCGAAATATTTTCACTGCAACCGTAAAGGTTCTATTGTTTTAAATCATCACAATCTTGAACGCGTGCCTTCAACTAACAATGTCTGAAATTTCATTTTAATTAGTTGAGTAGATGAGCCGCTAGGCTTATCTAATGGTCAATGGATTATATTATTATTTAGTTTAATTAAAAAATCAAAATATTGTTAGAGAATTAATATGTACGTATTTATGTTTCATTAAAATATAGAATTCCATACTACAAGTAAATGATGTTTTGATTTTCACATAGTTTTGTATGAAGATATAATAAACAAAATTTCGAACAAAACTTGTCAATTCAGAGAAGAAAGTACAAAACTTAGCAATGATTTATAATCTTGCAAAGAAAAGTCTGTGAAATTTATTTAAATTTAGCACACAAAATATAAAAGTTTTTCTCAGTTACAAAATACTTCCAGAAAAAATGCATGTTAGGAGAATGTGATTAGGATAACTGGATGTAATCATATATTCCAGTACTTTCTAATTGATTTGAGAAGAGTGCTGTTTGCATTTATTTCCTTCTGTAAAAAAGAAATGCATTTAGTATACATTAGAATTTGTATAAGCACAGAATAATTACATACGTTAACAAATGTGTAAAAGTTTAATGCAGGAATGCATTTATTTCCCCATTCCTGTATAATAAATAGCAAATTAATAATTAGTTATAAAAAAGTCCTTTATACAGACGAGAACGTTTAGGCGTGTTACCACTAGTGTGTAAATCCTGTGACCAACACAACGAAAAAATTATCTCACTTTAGAAGCTAAAAATCAAAATCAAGTTTCAAAATACTTTTTGAAGCTGTAATTTATTAGACTGATTACACATGCCCCTTGTTATTTCACGGAGTAAATTTTTAAACAATTCTGTTATTAACATAAAAATATTGGCAAAATTTCTCCAAGTATTAAATCGTATGAATATACTTATTGTGACCGTCTCATATTGCGGTTTTCAATATCCATTTATAAAAATATGTAGAAAGATATTTAACTGCACAATACTAGAACTACATTAAATAATACTAATTTTAATAGCCATAGACGCCATTTATGCAACTTGAGAAAATACGTATAAGTTATATTTTTGCGCAAATTCTACATGTGTTCTTGGTATTTATAAAAAGCAACAGATTTTTTTCCTAATCTTAAAATCATCATTGTAATTAATGTAATGTTATTATATTGTTGTTGTTAGTTCGTTATGCTCACTTTTCTGACAGTAATATCAACCGAAGCCCACGAAAATCCTCGTGGCAAGGAGCGCAAGATACGCCTGTCGTTGGTAACAGCCTTGAACATTTTTTACATGTGGCAGTGCCAGTTAGCTCAGTTCCGCCCCCCCCAGTTTTTACATGGAGGTAGGAAAGGTACTTCCATGAGTTTCCATGAGTACTACTTCCATGAGTTTTTATGGAGGGGGGACGGTTCCGAGGGTCTCCTACCAAACCACACTTATTCCTCATAATCGTATAATTAGCCTTATTGCATGTTTTTCCCACAGTACCACGTGATCAATTGCATTGTACGGCTATTGCATTCTGTTACTAAGTTTGGTACGAATCCTGTACCATAATTGCTAGTAACCAATGTATCAACCTTTGTGTACCTTAAACACAGTTGCATGCTAAATATATTTTGTATAACATATTCCTTTTTCCTAACTATTGTTGTACTATAGGGATTGAATGCGTATCGAGATCAAAATTATATGTACGCTACCTACTTCTTCTGTATCACATCACTACCTGCGGTATTGTAACGTGACTTTGTCATAGCGAATATCTAGTTTATTACACTTACTTTCAACATGTTGCTTTGTCAAATATATGTACTTGGCTATGCAATGTATCCCCATCCAGTTTTAGTCTTCTGAATTAAGTCGAATTCTGAATGCTTTACGCATTTCCCATGTATCAGTACTTCCAGTCACACACTGATGGCTATGTATTTTTTATTTTTAGTTCTTTAGGTATTATCCTCTGTGTATTGCTGTAATCATTTACATTCATTATGTCACTATGTTCTCTATTTTTATGTTATATTGTCATTAAGTCTAATTCTACTGTCTATATTTACTCATTGTATATTATTGGGCTGCCCAAAATCAGACTGTACTTTAGCTTATGTATATTCTTATATTGTGTGTATTATACCTTTGTAAAACTTTTGCTTATTGTCAAAACTCGCCCTTTTTGGCCCCGCATGCTTTTGTTATTTTATTTAATAAATGTGGGGCCTGGGCGGTTGGTCTGTTGGACTGCCCCCGGGTTGAATTTGGTTCTGGGTTTGGGCGCCTGATGCGTGGCGTCTTGTCATTCCTCTTTAGGCTCTAGATATAGGTGGACGTGGTGCTATACCGATTAACCTTTTGGTAAAGGGACAGTGCCCACGTCCTCCGTTGCTTATCGCTTATCGCTTACCAAACCACACTAAAGGACTTTCAGCTCACTGCAAATTTAGAGCGCAGTCATGCCGCACCGACATTAAGCATTTGCAAACATCCATCATTTCTCCGGGATTCGATTCCGGACCATCGGCACGGAAGTTAGCGACGCTAACCACTATAGCGGTTGGATGACATTATCCTGCTAATAACATGAAATTAGAATGAATAACATGCTTAAATTCAAAATATGAAAATAAAAATATGTCAAATTGTTGTATTAATTTAATGCTTCTTGTTTACGTTTGCAACGTTTCCAAAATTTTGAAGCAAGACTTGATTGTAAAAGAAATTCTGTAAGGACTCTTGTATATTTTCTTTCGAATGCATATTTTTTCATTGGGGTAGGTACTTCTGTCAAACGAACTTGAATCTAGGGCTGGATACCTCTGGTTTTTAATTTAAAATTTGAAAATTTCTTTTCAATTTATAGATTAATTTTGCTTAAATTTTACCGTTGAGTAACTGAAACGTTAACATACATATGCGTAATATATAAGGTCCTTGCAAACTGCGGAAAAGTGTACTTACTTCCTCCATAACACACACGCAAAAAGAACGATTCCGATAAAGAGCGTAGCCAGTATAATTCCAAGCAGTATAAGAAGGGCGGTGTTTTGTTTTTTGTCTTCTGCAATGAAAAATATGGCATTGTTACTCCACTACACTTAAAATTAAAGATCTAGAATTAAATTATCTAGATGAAAACTGTTGTGATAGTATGCAGAAATATTTGAAATTCCGAGAAATATTTATATATAACCAATAAGATACACAACCTATACCTAAATTAAAGATTTAGAATTAAATTATTTATATGAAAATTGTTGTGATAGTATGCAGAAATATTTGAAATTCCGAGAAATATTTATTTATAACCGATAAGATACACAACCTATACTCAAATTACAGTTGAAATAGAAAGGTGTAATGACTTAAAAGCATTTTTCACATCTGACCGAGTATCTCCCAAAATGTTGGACAAATTTTAATCAAATGTTTGTTGATACATGTTGATATAATGTAAAACAAGATACCCCAGGGCACAGCCCAATATAGTTCTGCCACAGAATGTCATTTCCATTAAAATATTTATCAGTTATATTCAAAACTCCGCTGTCTGTAGTACTGCAGTCAATAGGTTTATAGAATAACACATCTTCGCTAACATCAGTTTCTACAACATATCTTATATGTAATCAAGTGAGCATCTTTACGTACATGTATTACTACTTTTTCTATTAATTGATTGCAAAGATCTTCAGATACATCGTAAAATTTTCTTCACACTGTATTATCTGCAGACTAAATCATTCTATGTTGTTCAGCGTGCGATTCGCAGAGCATCCTGGCTACCATGTCAGTAACCGCAGATAGCACCGAAGTTTTCCACACTGAATGGTAATTTTTGCATTTTGTTATTCTATAAAAAAACCTTACATGATGCAAGCAATCCTATTGATGTTATAGATCATAGTTTTTGAAAACTATTCTTGCTGTTTATTTAAAATGTCTAATTTTCTTTGAAAAATTCTGTAGTTTTGCCAACGTGGTCTGCATATACGTTTTCATTGTTAGTTTTTATGCTATCTACGGCCAAACTCTTCATAGAGAGCAAATGTATTGATCGTTCTGGGTCATTAAGAACCTTATATGTAAACCCCAATGATAAGTACTTTGGATCACTGGTTTGTGCACACGTACACGGGATTTCTACATTTAGGATTACTATTTTGAGTAGCTGTATAACCGCTATTTGCATTTACGTGTACCGACTTTCCTCTGCTTTATTTCTCTTCTCATTTCTTTTTTAATCCAGTTACGTATTTAGGTATATTATTCTAAATAAATTAAAACTACTTTACTCCAGTTTTGAAATTAACCTCAATAATAATTTAGAAGTGTACCAAGAGCCCCCAGTCACGCCGTTTTTCTCATCTCGCCTCACCGGCGCTTGATTCCAATGCGGAAGCAAGACTTGATGTTGAGGTTCTTCTTCCGCCAAGAGTGTGAATTATTTCCAGAATTAGTGCCCCAGATACTTGGACGAAAGTTGTGGATTACGCATAATCGTATAGATGATTAATCTATTACCACGCCTATTGGACTTTTTGTGGCTTGTTTGTACTCGAAAATAATATATTGGTACAGCTGCGTAAGCCCATTGCAATAATCTTGCGCCCCATAGGTTGGAAACCGCTAAAACCGAAAATGAGATTATATCTAATGCAAAACAAAAGCATATATGTTTCGTCAGAAATGGCTTCGTATGGTATAATGAGAAACAATAAAATAGCAATTTATAAGAAGGTCTTTATTGTTAAACTATTTTTGTTCCTTATGCGAACTTTCTTTGAATAATAATTTAAAAGTTATGCATTTTTTCAGAAATTGAGTATGAAAAGAATAGTATGAATATCAGTTAATAAGAAGAGGATGAAGAAACTGACTCTACCTTTGCATGATCCTTCAAATTCGACAAAACCACGTCGACAGTAGCATTCTTTGTTTCCATGAATGTCCAAAGAGCATTTGCCATTCGGGCCACAGCTGCAGTCTGGAAATGACGAAACAAAATTTATGAAATAAAAGACAATACATGTATCGGCTTTTATCGCAATGTTTGGAGGCAGAAATTTTTTTTATCATTATATTACTACAAAAAAGGTGCAAGAAATATAACAAAATTATTAATTTTTTTATTTTTACAAAATAAATTAGAGAAGAAAGTTTTAAACAAAAAGCGATATAGACTAAATACATTTCCTGTTATCGCTGAAGAATTTGTCCAATTGTAAGGTTGAGAAGAATACCAGATTTTCAAGCAGGAAATGTGAAAAGTGAATTTTGCCATCAATGGAAAACGAACTCTGGATCTTGGAATTATTAGCTGGGATTGCTGATTCCTACTGTAAAAGTGGGAAGATAGGAGAGCCATCATTTTTAGAAGAACATTACGACGATCTGCCATAACAACGAGTTACTATTTAAATTTTATGCTTTCTCATTACATTCTCCTAAATTTTCAAATGTTCTTATTCAGAGTCATGGAAAATTAACTAACAGTTCATCCACTTTCCCATATGTTGATTATAGTTTGTATACAACTTTTCATTTTCACTCTAATTAATAGAATTGTACACTTAGATGAATTAGGCTTGTTATTATTTACTTAGCTATCTGTTGCGTTTTCAATTTTTTTAATTAGTCATTTTAATTTCTTTTATAATTCAGTATTAATTTCATCCTGGTTATACCCAAAATCACATAAATGATTCAACATTAACATCTATAACCACTAAATCTCTAGAAATTTTTCTCCGAGTCACAAAAGTAATACCGTAATTTTCTCATATTAGGGGAAAGAAATTCTCATAAATTTCCTTTTTTCATCTTTCTGGGAAAGGAATTCGTGATCGAGGTCAGTGACGAGTATCAAAATTAATCAAATGCCACGAAACAGTAAAGTAGCATTTTAAGGCTAAATTACGATTACAATGAAAGCAATAATAACTGTTATACGGACTGCATTTTAGAAACACACATGTTATTAGTTAATTAAAACAATATTTATTTGTTAATGACACATTTTTATTTACATTAGTGCTCATATCATACCATCTAATTATATTATTCTTACTCTTTAAAAAATATTTCGGCCGCTGAGAAAATTCAGCTGTTTGTCTTGTACGAGTAAAATACAAACTGTAATGAAAAATTTAAAAAGTCTCTTGACGACATATGGACTATAGTTTTTTATCAATCACAAGAATTTAGAGAGACAGAACTTTCGCTTTCTCTCTTCTAACAGTTTTAACAACCACAAAAATTTTTCTTTTTATATCGAATTGTTGTTAAACAAATTGTATTTCTTTGTAATGCGATGTCTGACAAAATCTTAAAAGAATGTTTTCAGATACTGATAAAGTTTCAACTCCAGCAACTCGAACTAAGTAATTATTTAAACAAATATGATTAATACTTGCGACACTATTAATAAACTGGGTAACTGAATACCAGCAAAGAGTGCCATTTTGGCCATCATTCATATAGCTCTAGATGACCCAAAGAAGGAAAATAAAGTTTCAAAATTTGTGAATGAATTCTACTTCATAATGGAATAAATTTTTGATCCAGGTTCGACTAAAATTAAATAATTTTATTTACATTTTTCTTATTGCTGCAAGAGCAATTATTGAATACATTTGAGATTAACAGAAACTTGGGATGCTATTTTCTGCTTCTCTTCATGAAGGAAAATGTAGCATTATATATTCTGCTACTGTTTCAGTAAGAATAAATAGAATATAAGTTAAAAATTGATAAATTCTTATAAATTGGCTGGCACCACGACTCATACAGATTATGAGTGGCGAACTGTAGAATATGCAATCCAGTTGCTCAGCATGTTCGGAGACAGAGCAAGAAAATTGTAACTGTTGCCCTAACAATTCTGTAGAGGTTCGATGGAAGAAATTTGAAGATCTAGAGGGCAAAGGGAAAGTTAATGGCATAATACAGGAACTTTTTTTATTACGTTCTCTATACGATCTTAGAGCAACGTTTATCATTACGTTATGTACGTATTTTATTATGTACTTTGAGCAAGCTGATATCTTTCAGGATATCAACTTGCTCAAAGGAAGCCCTCGACAAGTGCGACAACATTGGCAATATAACAGGTGACAGCACTTTGTAGACCTATCGTCGAGTCATTAAAGTTCTGCACACATTCTCGCAAGGTTACTTGGTAGTATGGGCAACAGAGGAATCGTCTGAGTGCATGCCATTTTGTCCAAAGGAAAGAGAAGTTACAGTTTTTTTACTCATTCATATAGTACTATAATCCTTATTTATTATGTTTAATTTCTGGTTATATTCTCGGTCATGGATTTTAGAGTCAGAGTTAATAATAACAATAATCGTAATAATGAACGAGTTACGACCTGGCACGTCTTTTCCTGTCCATTCTCTACAAAAAAAGCACATTACATAGTTACGAATACATGTCATTTTGTTCCCTAAACATAAAAACGGGCAAAGTGGGATTTCTTTCTTCCTCTCCTTTCCTCCCACAATGCGAAATAATGAGACAAGTTCATGCTGCCGCAATACAGTTACAAAGAAAGCATTTTCATTCTTTTAAATGAATTTTAGTAAAATTTAATGTTATTTCTTAGTTATGATACAAACAAGTTTTCGACGTATAATTCCCTAGAGGCTAGATTAGTCAGCTATACCGTATACAATTAAATTACATAAAACTGATAAGTCTAAATACAGAAACAAACATGCAAGGAGGAACAAACATGCCATGCCTGTGAATATTTTCTCTTGTTCCAAATGTTATAAACTGCATTTCAAAAGACTATGAATATCATGAAAATAAAACAGTTGTTTATCAATTTGCAAAATATACTAAAGTTTTATATTGTAAGGTTTTACATAGTAAGGCTTTACACTGTACTATATATTAATGTTGGCTAATCAGTATCTCTGAAAGTCTTTCAAATGTTCATGTCACAGAGTATAATATCTATTAGCTAAGTATCTTTTCTAGACAACTGAAGCGCGTCTGGAAATGAATCTGAGATCGTTTGAAAGAACATAATTCAACAGCTGTTGAAGTGTTTCTAGAAAAACAAATATTGAAAATGATACACGTTGTTCTTTTGTAATGGGCATGATCAGTAAATATAAAAATAGAAGCTGAAGACATTTTTAAATTACAAAAATCGAAAAGGAAAATCCTTAATCATTTAATAATTTATGATATTAAGGAAATTTTTTGGTTTCGGTCTCTTTAATTAATAGTATCAGAATCAGTGCTTAAAATAAGGAGCAATTTAGGATTTTCACTGTACATCTAGCAATTTAGCAACTAGATACTTACACATTTCGTTTTATTAATATCTACTTTTTAACTAAGAAAAATCTCTCTTTTATTTTAGAACAAATTTATAGCTTTTCCCTGAGTGGGGTATCTAGAACAGGTATTCATTTGAATATGCAAATGAAATTACGTTAGGATAATTATTAAAGAATATAAAAAGGTAGTGATAAATGTAATGAAAGTTTAAATCGACTGAAAAATTATAAGATTCCTTCGAAAAGCAATAACTGTGACAGAGAGATTTTGATCAGTCTGCTGATGCCACATGCAATAAAATTACATAAAACTGCTAAACCTAAATCAGAAAAACAAACATGCAAGGAAGGTCGTCTTTGGATATTTCCTCTTGCTCAAAATGTTATAAATTGCATTACATTATTATATTTTTTCTTATAGATTTTTTTAATTATAATTTTATTTTTAAAATTTGTATGAATTTCAAGAAAGCAAAACAAAAATTTTTCAATTTTAGTTTCTACAGCAAAACATAGTTAGCAGACAATAGTAAAAGGACATCTGTTATAAAAGAATAGAATGTGTGAAATGAGGTACTTGTATTGTAAAATTATTATAGATCCATGCAGAAATGTGAAAAGATAAGTACTTATAAGTTTGAATTCGTTAAAGAAAAAAATTTGTAAATTTTTAGAGCATATGAGTCTTCTTTTTCAAAAATATATCTGTATATGATATTGGTTGATTTTAATGGAATGTTATTCGAGTAAATAGTTTTGTACCTCGAATGAGAGAGCCTTTAATTAGATTTCTTAGAACACAGAATAGGCAAGGCAACATAAACATAATCGCATAATTTCATACAATCAAAAATTATAAATTGCGTATATTTTAGGATAAGAAACTGAGAGCTGAAAATTTAAAACATGTTTTATTAAATTATGTTTTCCATTATAATGCCTTCTAATCCGTAAAAAAATCCAAATTATTTTCTCTTCAGTAGCCATTCATCGCATGCAGACGTAAAAAAAATAGGCTTAGTGGATGTGCAATAAATGCTATTTTGCTTTTACTTTACACAGATACTTAGTCAATATTAAAATATTTTACTCGAAATCTGAAAAGATTTTGACTTCTGATAGAAAATAATAGCTTTTTTTTTATCGAATATATATGTAGATGCAATGTCATCAACCGCATTTTCTCAGGAGAACTATGAAGAATTATACATTTCATTTCACATTCTTGAACAAATGTAGCGTCTACAAAATAACTGTAGCATAAAAAGTAGTACCTATTTCACATGTCCTTCCTGAGTGCGGAGGCATGCAAGCGCAGCTGTAATTTCCATTAGAGAACTTGCATTTCCCTTTGTTTTGGCATGGATTTGGGTTGCAAGGATCTAAAAAGAAGAAAGAAAAATTAAATCTCTGTTTTATTACATTAAAATACTTCATTATCCTAGTTGAGTAAAATTTAATTAACGTTCAAATAAATTTTCAAGGTATTATGACTTTTATTTTCTGACTTTTGCAGTCGCTTCATCATCGAAGAATGCAAAGCCATTTTTTAATTGGAAAAACGAAAAAACGAGCCGCCGCTGTTGAAAAGTCGGACATATAAAGACGGACAAGAATTAAGAGAGCTGAGAGATGTTTATGAATGTGATGCACATTGCAGATATTTTTTGATTAATTCTGGCTGCAGAAAACTGAAAATATGTTTCGTTTGACCAGAACTGTTGGAATATGGAAAATGTAAGATTTTGTTCTTTTAATATATTTCGTGTTTTTAATGTGCTGTTTCGAGATTTTGCTTGAGTAGCCAATGTATATTAAGGTACATTGTCAAAGAATATTGTAGATACCCAATACCCCAGAAGTTCATATAGAAATTTTGTCTTTAAGCATCGATCTTTAGTATTCCCTATCACTACAGCTTAATATATATTGGTCCAGCAAGAAGAGTCTTGAAATTTCGCGCCAATAAGCGCGAAACTTGTAATAGGAAAAAGGAAACACATCAATATTGCTGTTCAATATTGCTGTTCAAAGAACCACATTTTCCTTTTTTCTGTAACTGAATTTATTGAAAAATATCTTCCGTCGACTATTTAGTTTTTTAAAAACAGTCCAAAGTCATAAAACTCTTTCAGTCTGGTTGATTATATGACCCATCTTTACTTTTAGTTTTTTTAAAATTTATTTCATAGTTGATTTCGCGCTTTGTCAGTATACGGCCCATTAGTTTCATCTCCCTTAGCTGAAAATTTTCTCGAATTTCCTACATTCCTGGAGGAGTCTGTATTCTGGCAGCTGAAGAAAAAGGTTTTGTTTAAACTTCGAAAGCTTAGTCCTGCAAATTTACACAACATGCGCTTATTCTTGTTGCTAATTGCTAATATCGTCAACACCTAGTCATTTATATAAGCCTAGATCGATCTCTGTTACTTGCTTTTTAATACAAACGAATTATCCATTAAAACACTACATATTTTTAATTTTACGTGCTTAACTTATTTTAAATTTTTTAATAATATTTCATTATGCTGGTGTGAAAACTTTTTTTATTATTTTTTATTTATGTTTACTTGTGACTTTATTAAACTTTACAATATGTGCTGCATGCGTGTCTTAAAATTTTAAAGTTAAATGCATTATTTTATATGCATTATTTTATATAAAATGCATTTATGTTTAAATGCATTATTTTATATAAAAATTACAGTGTGTTTCAGTAATTGCTAAATTAATTATTGACGTAAAGAATTACGTACCTTTGCATATTCCGTCAATTTCCATAAATCCATCTGAACAAATGCATCGCTTAACATCATAATTTTCGAAGAAGCACGATGAAGCTGAGCCACAGTAACACTCTATATGTACACAAACAAGAAGTGGTTATTAGTGAAAAATATTCAAGTATAATGTCTTTGAATCGCTCTGACATAATATTTAGATATATGACTAAAATGTGTCAGGTATGTGTTATTGAAAATGTACAAGTTCGATTTTTAATTAGGTAAATTTCATTTTGAAATTGTTTTCAACCCAAATAGGCATTAGCCCAGAAGGGATAATAGTCTAGAAATGACATTTTGATTCGAATCACTTTAAATGTGCGAATTAATTTTCAAATCGTTGCCACCAAATATTATTGCCCTGTATTATATTTAAATAATGGAAAAATCTGCATAAATGTGTGTATGTTTCTCTCATTGTGAAAACCCGAAACCGAGAGACATCGAATTTTGAATACTGTAGTCCTCCAACCAAGTATGGCGCATGGAAGCTCGAATCTTGAATTACGAATTTTTTTCATTAACTGTTTCATATTTTTTAAACTTTAATGAATTTTTGATTAAGAAACTCAACGATTTCAAAGCGAGCAATGGCAACACTCTGAATGAAATTAAATATTTTTATCCCAAAGCGCGAAACTATCTATCGGAAATTTTAAATTACGTTGCTTTTAAATATTTTAGCCCAATGTGGCGTTAGCCCAAATACTGTCGAAACGTGTATATGTCTCTAAATGAAAAACACACCTGTTTGGCGTAATATAAAATCTGGAAGCTTTCAGATTTTTTAGTTTATATTTTTGTTATTAGTCACTATCAAAGAACTGACAGGCTTTTGCAAAATGTTCTTGCTTCATTAAGAAGAGAGACTAGGGTTTTACGCACTGAGATACCTTCAGTGTTTGAACACTTATTTTCGCATGCCTGAGAAAAACATTCATTTTCTTCATTTAATTATTTATTTGTGTATGCAGATTTTAAAAACATAAATTTAGTGAGTCACTAATGATGAGATTATATAAGCACTTATTACGAACATCCTTCACCATGGGCTCTACCTTTCGGTATTAACACTTGATTGATTTTCGGTATTAACACTTGATTGCGGTATTAACACTTGATTGCTTGATTTTTTAATACTGGAAATGTCTAAAAATCGAAGTGATTGAACCACAGTAGATTGCCTATTATACTGTAGATTTTGTTTTCTTTTCAGGTTTTTTATTTGCATTTACATAGTTTGTAAAATGGGATTAAACTTATAAATACATAAAATAAATTCTTCTGCGTTAAACCAATTCAAATGTCTTGCATTACAAAAATATTGACTCTAAGAATGGTTAAAATTCAGATAGACAATGTCTGTAGCACTTTTGTAAATTAACATTCTGTATTTTATGCACGTTATCAGTCAGACTTAGAAAAGCTCTCATAGTCACACTAGTGAACAAAATTAGTGCTTATATCATGCGCAATACTTTAAGTTATACAGTTTAACAAGAATATCACATAAATTTCAGAAAGAATTCATTGAAAATAATGAAAGTCAATTCTGTCTAAAAAAACGAATTAAGTACATAGTAAATATGTTTCATTTTACATTCTTTTTTAGTTTTGTTAAGAATGTATATTTCTATTTTAGCCTGAATTAGAAACAGATAATTGATATAATTTGTGAAAACAGATGTAATAAATTACTAAATTAATTTACTTCCAATAATTATGATGTCTCAGCTTTATACATTGTAAAGTATTAAGTAGGTATACCCTTGCATATATTCATAATATTTTGGTATCCTTCTTTACAGAAGCAAGTCTTCACAGTAGCAGCTGCCGATCCATTAAATTCACAGCTTGCTTCTCCGCCACATTCACATGCTGCAAATGAAGACATATACTTTTAAAAAGGGAAATAATTGCATAAGTGTTTGATAGTATTTTCAGAATTTATTAACATGATATTTAGGTAAATATATAAGCCCTAAATGGAAAGCTATATGTAAATTTTGAAATATATTTATTCATGTTTCGGTGTTCAAAAAATATTTTTATTCATAAAAATATTCAAAAAATAAATATCACAGGCATGAAGAGAAATTTTTTGAAAATTTAGCTCTCTTAATTTAAGTTTGCACTAGAAACTAATCATTGTCATGAACTAACTTGTCGTTTAGTTTTACTTAGTAAACTCATATTTTTAATCACATTCAAAATATGTTATGTTTTGGCTTCTATTACTATGCAAAATTTAAATGAATTACAAAGAAATATGCTTAGCAAAATTGAATGCATAAACAATAAATTAAAAATTTATTACTAACATGATAACAAATTAAGAATTTTTAAATATTTCCTATAACTGCATTTTAATATTTTTTTAAAACGCTTATAAATTTTCTACTAGATAAGGCACTATATGTTGAAATATATACATACAATAAATACATATCTTTTTATTTCGCTGTTCAGAGAAACATGAACAAAGATTTAATACAGATTGCAACAAAACAATGAAATGATGAAAAAATTGAGGTCGTTTCTAAATTCTATACCCAAAAACTTATGAATTCTCCCTACACTTTGGGCAAGGGAAGTTTCGCCGTTATAACTTTCTTAGGCCTGTGTCAATTATGATATAATAGTAAAAAGCTTTTAAATGATATACACTCACTTCCAAAAGTTAAGCACGAAGATGTAAAATGCAAAAAAATCAACAAATACTACTTTGATTGACACAAAATTCGGCAGGAAAGTAGCATATATATTTATGTAAAACAAAATCAATAATTATATACAGAAATGAAAAAAATATTAAATTTTTGTAAGTTATCAGATAATGACACACTGGAGACTTAAACAGAATTATGTATAAAGTGAAAAATAAACAGCATAAAATGAAAAAAAAAAGGACATTAATAGGGTATGTGATCCCCCTCCCCTCATCTGTATACAAAGTTTACACCTTGTGACCATGCTTTCAATTAGGTGGTCAACCACCGCAGAATTAAGCAATTGCCATTCTTCTTGTAGAGCAGTTTCCAGCTCAATAAGAGTAGCTGGAGGTGGGAAACAAGAAGATACAGCACGACAGAGAGCATCCCAAAAATTTTCAATGGGATTAAAGTCGGGCGAATATGCTGGCCATGCCATACGCGCAATCGCTTTACGGTACAGGTCAGTTCGACGCCAACGTGTCGACGCCAACGGTTCAACGCCAACTGTTCGACGCCAGCGTTTCGACGCGTGGTCAATTCGACACGAAGTCGTTTCGACGCGGGGTCAGTTCGACACCATACTTTTTTTGCTTTTGTTTGAGGCCATACTTTTCATATTTTTATTTATTTTTAGAATAAGTTTGCATCATCATTCAAATAAATTTGATGTCATCATCATTTGGTGTTTCACACCCCACATTATGGGAATTCATAGATGGTCTCAGGCGTGTTCAAAAATCAATTGATAAATGTTATGAACAATATGTACGTGGAGATGAACTGGCGCACAAGCGGAATAGGCATCTTCGAGCTGATATGAGAATTAAAGTACTAGCTGAAGATTTTGAAAATCGAGAAATAATGGAATACCTGAAAGGTGGGGTGCATAATTTTGCAATGGATTAGTGTAATAACAGTTCTGTGATGTAATCTTATTTATCTCTAATCTTATTTATGTGTAAGCTTATTTATCTCTAATCTTATTTATGTGTAAGCTTATTTATCTGTAATTATATTTGTCTGCAATATAATATAACTACTTTGTAACCGTATGTTTATTTACCATTTGTGTATTTTGCCTTTTTGATGCTGTTTTGTGAAATAAATAAATAAAACAAAAACCTCCCTCATGTCTCGGAGCCTTGACGTTGGCGAGGGGGCTTCTCACTAATCTGGGACACATACAAAAGTCTAGAACACTTTCACACACATACACAACATATATTTATTTCAAATATGCATACAAACAATCGCTAATTCAATAATTCAGTCATATTACTTATTTATATTAATTCATATTTATTCTAAAAATAAATAAAAATACGATAAAAATATGGCGTCGAACTGCCCCTGCGTCGAAACGTACGGCGTCGAACTGCCCCAGCGTCGAAACGTTGGCGTCAAACCATCGGCGTCGAAACGACTTGCTTCGATCGCTTTACTCTCCAGGTAGTCATCGACGATGTCAGCTCTATGGGGACGTGCGTTATCGTACATTAAAACAAAAGTTGGGCCAACTGCTGCAGCGTACAATCTCACAATGAGCTCTAGGATTTCATCTCGATACTGGACAGCCGTCAAAGAACGCCGCTTAAACATGTGCAGGTCCAGTTCGGTATCCTAATGAAATCCCTGCCCACACCATAATGCTTCCGCCTCGGAATGCGTGATGTTCGGGGATCTTTTGGGACTGATTGCGTGTTCATTGTTCACACCATATCCTTATACGCTTGTCATCTGGCTCCAGAGCAAATCTTGACTCATCAGTAAACATGACATTGCCCTAGTCAGACACATTCGAATTGACATGTTCCCGGCACCACTGTAATCGTGCCCCTCTTGATTGGACAGATAGAGGAACAGAAACACGAGGTACCCGGGCGTAGAGTCCACTCATATGTAATCTTCGGCGTACAGTACCTGCAGATATCGCCTTACCAATGGACGCTGTAACCATATATGTCATACGTGTGGAGGTCGCTCTGCTATTCGGATTGGCTACAATAACAATATATCGATCTTCCGTGAGGGTTGTAATCATTGGTCGACCGGCTACGAGTCCTTCGGACATTTGTCTGTGTGGTTTTGGAATTGTTTCCATAAGTCGAAAATTACAGAATGATGAACGCCGTAGAAAGGAGCAACATCTGTGATCGATTGTCCTGCTTCAATGTGCCCCCAGCACGCCAGAGCTCAGAATCTTCCATTCGCCTTTTGGAAGTCATAGAAACACGTATGTCTTGCAAACAAATTGTGCGGAACTTTTAAACACCTTCTATCAGCACTTAAATCAATTTCTGTAACCCTTCATAAAGCTGGCTTCTTATAAGACTGTTTTCTTGACATGAAAGCGCGATTGGCTGTTATCTAACATATTTGCATACTTCCATCTACCTCTGCAGTGAATTGTATCCTCCTCAGTTTTGATTGGTTTCCGGAGATTAGCATTTTTCTCTCCGTGCTTAACTTTTGGAAGTGAGTGTATAATTCAGAACTATTTGACACCAAATTGCACATATCTCAATGGTAAGTAGCGAAATATTTAATTGCAGATATTTTAATAAAAGTTCTTGAAAGTGAAATATTCATTAATATTTAAATTCTGAATATTATCATACATAAGTTTTTTTATCGGTCTACGTTTATTTACAAGACAAAGTTCTGACACATTTCGCAAAAATTTATGAATTTTATACGAATTAACATTTTAATTATGAGTCTTATCATTTCTGTAAAAAAATTTTGCCATCGGAGAAGTTTCTTCTTTAACGGAAAAAACATTTTTTTTTATTTTTTCGCAAATACAAGTTAAAATTTTATTTGCAAATTGTTTGCCTTAAATCTATGAAAACGGTATATTAATTAAAAAAAGGTATTAAAGTTTTCGATAGTTAATTTATTTAATAAATAATTCACCATTGCACATTTTTAATTATGTATATTAATTGTTTTATACAATACTAGGTATACCTTTCTGTGTTTCGAATATCATACATTCATGTATGATATTCGAAACACAGAAATTCAATAATTAATTAATTAAAAACTATAATACAAAGAACGAAATGGTTTAAAATATTATTAAAATTAAGGAAATTAATATAATGTTATTTATTTATTTTCTTTGTTAAAAAAATCAAGTTAAAACAGTCAAACAGTCAACGAATAAGTTGATAGAATTAATCCTCAATCAATTAAAAACTTTAATACGAGGAATCAAGCAGTTTACGATTAGGAAAGGAATTTGCAAAACATATGATAAAATTGTACTTATTTATTCGTGCAGTCTAAAGATTCGTGACCCTTTGAATTACATAGGAATTGGTTTTTGCGGCCGGCACGCATCTTTTTGTGGTAGTTTAGATTTGCAGTTACATTTTTTTAAACCCTGCTCAATATTAAGGGATTGCTTTAATGCTGTTTGCCATAAAATGATTCTGCAGGAGGGACATGTTCTTTCGTTAAAAGTCTTTCTTTGCAAACAGTGAATTCAGATCTTGCATATAATTGTTTTAAGAAAAAAAAAATGTGAACTTTAACGATACGGAAAACGTTAACGTGCACATTTTCTAGGTGAAATACGGAAAACTCTTGATTCCTCGCTTTAACGAAGCAAATTACCACCAGATTAGTTAGGTAATGTTCACATTTACGACTCTGAAGCTTTAGCAGTAACGTATACAATTACCTTACCTCTGCATATATTATTTAAATAGAGACCAAACCCAGGCGGACACTGACAGATTGCGTTTCCGAATTGGTCCTCAACGCATGTACCATTTTCGCACCCACAATCTAGATCAAACGAAAAAAATATTGTGAATGTCATGAATTTTATATTCATAAGATGTTTTGAAACTGAATGAGAATTTTTACAAAATAAACACATCCTACAGCAACAAGAACCAAAGCTATGGAATATTTTATTTATGAAAGTAGATCAAATGGCTAACAGACGGTTAAATCATCGCTGATTCCACGCAGTATTAATTTACAACATTACCATTTCCATCGTTTGCAAAGAAGAATCTTTTAATTTATACTGGCCTCTAAACCACTCATTCTACGTTAAATTGATGCTCATAAAATTACATTCACTTTGGTGTATAGATACTGCGTTTCGATTAGTAAAAATAACAGGAAACGACCAGGATATGAAATAAAGAAGAAAACGTAAATATGCTTTCCTCTTTTCATTTTATGTTTTGCTTTCTTCCCTGCATTTAAAGACATATGACATAAGCAGTATCTTTCGTCTTACTAGCATAAATTTAATGTATTTCGTTGTTTTTCGCTACTCAGTATATCCTGCGACGCGAAATACTGATGTTTAAATTGGAGACGCTTTCGGTAGAGGTTGTAGCAATTGTAACTACAATATGTGTTCTATACGAACCCCATGAACATATGTGCGTAATGTTCACCACATGACCACATGTCGGCATATCATGAACACATATCGGTATGTATTTATCTCACGAAGATTCTATATATACATTTTTGCTTTTAGCACTTCAAAAGTTACGGCTATTTGCTCTAGATACCAATTTTTACCACCTTATATTTCATTCAGGGACGATATAACCCTGAACGTTCCTCCAAAAGACGGATCTCAATCTTAACACATTCGATATACTCGAATAACATTTAGATAAAATTATTCTTGTTCGGAATTTTATTCAAGTCTACAAAATTTCCCCCTTATATTTTTATTTCTCTCTCACCGCACTGATCCAATTTTCGACAATATTATTCGTGTCTCCCAGGTGTTTTGCATGTCGAATCATATCGCCTAGTTAGTGATACCTAATGTGATTCTTGTTTCCTGATACAGAAGGCAGTTTAAGGGTAAAGATTCTTACCAGATACTCAATTCTTATAGATTTTGATGCACGTAGCCCAATGAATTCGAATAAATTTCAACTTTCTGTTTACACTAATAAAGGAAAATTAGCTGCCACGGCAAAATATACAAGCCAAAGTACACCTAATTTTCTCGTGAAAGATTAATGATTTAAAACGATTGCAGGGAGTTTGAAACGGTTGGAGGAAAACATCTCAGCCACTCCACCAACTTTTACATTTTTCTCACTTCTCTACTGTTGCTTAGCAACTTCATATTAATACGTTTGTAGAAGTATTAGGTGTTTCGAAGCAGGACACATAAAAAATGAGCAATGCTCTCGCCGGAACTCGAACTTGTACCTCTCAAATGCGTTCCGAGTGTGCTACCTTTCTGAGATTCTCAAATGCGTTCCAACTGTGAGAAGATATAGCAGAAGGAGGGTGAAAATATCTTATATACTCCTTCTTTTAAAGAGAGACTGGAAATTAAGAGACCCAAATGCCAAATCTTGGTGGTAACGAATTATTGTCCACCAACTTTTAGTTCGGGCTCCACTGTAGAGTCGTTAGATTATTTTGAAGCTGGAAACGTGTAAAATGAGCAATGCGCTCGCCGGCATTGAAACCTGGACTTCTAGAATATGCGCCGACTGCGCTACCATTTCACCATGGAGGCATGCTGGGAGGAGAGAGAAAATGCTTTGTAAATGTATTAATTGAAATTTAGTTACTACATTTTGAACTTACATTCTACATATCTAAGAAGGAAAGGTAAATTACAATCAAACGTTTTTCAACGTGTCTAATCGGAACTATAATGCGTCCAATTGCAAAGACTCATTCTGTAAATATAAATACCTTTCTCACAGTTCCTTCCCGAATAGGGAAATTTGCATGTGCAGGTATAATCAACGTACTCCACTTTACATTTGCCTTCATTCTGGCATGGATTGGGGATGCACGGATCTAAGTAAAAAAAAGGGAGAAATTCAGTGCAATGTAAATAATACATTCGATATTGTAAAATATTTGTACTTTTATAGAATATTGTAATTTTACCACCACTTCTTCTACATGTATGAATTTTTACTGTTAGTTCAAAATAAAGTATTAAACCAAAGCAGAAACGAATTATTCTGCTGAATGCCAGGAAAAGCACCAAAGTATCAAATATTAAAATGAAACGCAAATTGCAAATTCAGAGGTGTAACTCTTCAAATTATTTACTCATAAAATTAAGAAAATGCTTGAACTTTTTGAAAATAACTAAAAATGTTAGATTTTAAAGAAATGTGTGTTTGCTGGTGTGTAACTTCACGATTATCAGCTGAAACAATTTTTAGCTATGCCCTGACGATAACTTCATTATCTTAAGTGTAATTCTTTCAAAGTTTAAAGATACAGAAATTAAAATCAGTGTTTAAAATAGTCTCTTCAATTTGGCAATGATTTAAGTGGTAGAAAACGCCATAAATAACACCAAGGGAAGATTTCTGTAGTTATTTATTAAATATTCTAAAATTTAAGCCAAGATTTAATTTTCAGAATTTAATTTATAATTGTTTAACTAAATTGCTTGAGCATGAAACATGCAACAGATTCTTTTCTCAAATTGTACAAATTTTTTGCGACAAAATGCAATTTTCCTTTTAGAAATGATACCTAATCGAAGTGTTTTATAAATTATTTCCTTAAAAAGCTTTACTTATACCTAACACTGCGCAGATTGAATTCAAATTTGATGACATTAACAAGTGGTATACAATCTGGTTTATTATATCTTTAATTTTGTTTATAACGTATATTGTTTGATGCAGCTACTAAAAGAAATTTTAAAAGCAGCAATTGTTTTAATTAAATTCGTTACCTTTACATTTCCCATCTATATATCTGTATCCTTCTAGACAAAAACATGTCTTTTTCCCATCATATTTATCGAATCTACAGCCAGCATTTGGTCCACAGTAGCACTCTATGAACAGACAGAAGAACACATAGTAACACTCAGAGCAGAATTAAATAGAAATCATACAATACAATTTTATACAAATTTCGATCATTCAGCAAAAACAAGACAGCTTGGGATTTTAATATATGCTGTTTAACAGACTTAATAATGCTCTAGAAACGTTTTCGCAAATTTTATTTTAGCAAATTAAAAGAATGAAATCTTTTCAATGAATTACAGATGCGTTAATATTACAGACGTGATAGGTAGAAATCATTCTAGAAAAACGATTTGTACATAATTTTACATTCTTCCTCATTTTTATGCTTAATTTATATTATATGTCCAGCATTGCATGGTGACAGTAGGATGATCAGACGGTTATGCCCTTAAACTACCACAGGAGCTCGAATCAGAAGTATTACTGCTGTAAAGCTTTACGAAGTATGACTTTATTATGAGCTCACAGCTCAGGTGATATTTTACAGGAGCTAATAAAAGTCACAGACTACAAGTACGTAATTTGAAGTGTTTTCAATATTTGGCATTGCGGCATTCTATGTGCACTATGTTTATCGTTTATTTGCGCTTATTTTGCAAGATTATGATTGCACTGATATGCTATATAAGTACAGAATACTAACGTCGCGGTGTACTACTTAATATTAAGTGCACTAAGCACACTAATTAGTCCAAAGGGACTTGAGTCCCGAAGGACTATTACTTTCGTTTTGGCATTTTGCGTCGGACGGATAAATGTCGGTTCACTTTTCAAACTGTTGCCATAAAATGTTACAATCCTGCATTATATTTGAAGAATTAAATAATGAAAATCTGCGTAATGTATGTATATTTCTCACATTGTCATAAATAAACAGTACATAGAGTCATCGAATTTTGAATAACGTAATCCTCCAACGAATATGAGCATGTGGAAGACCAAATTTGAATTTGAAAATTTGTTTTATGATCGATTTCCTATTTTTTTAAAACTTTGACGAATTTTTGATTAACAAAACTCAAGGATTCCAAAGCGAGCAATGGCAACGTTGTGCAGAAAAAAACATTTTTTATCTCCAGCGCGTGAGTCTCTTATCGGAAAATTCTAAAGATATGCTCGTTTTAAAACTATTTTGCGATATTGCTGTTGCACTGGATCTCATGGTTTAAGTGCGAGGAACATGATATTTAATAAAGAAAGGTAACACACAAAATGTTAAAAACGCCCCTTTGGACGTAATTTAAAATCTGAAACATTTCAGATTTTTTTTCTTTTATTTACTCTAACGTTTTGGACAACATCGGGTACGCATAGACATCCACAACTAGATGCAATTTCTTCGGTGTATTCAATTAGGTTTAATTGGTCTCTTGAACTTAAAATTCCACTTGAGTCCTGTTAGTTGCCGCTGTTGTTGTGACTTATCTCACTTTTCTGACAGTAACATCAAAATAATCCCGCGAAATTCATCTTGTCAAGGAGTCTATGATTGCCCCTGACGTTGGCAAGAGACTTAAGCACGACACAGGTGACGGTACGACTTTGCTTGATTCCACCCCACCCCCCCAGGTATGAAGAAGAGCACCCCAGGAAGACAGATCCGTAGGCCTCCAACATCACTTCCCCTACGAACAACCACTCGAAAGGACTTTCGGCTAGCCGAATATCTAGATTGCCGTGTCGCACAGACACAATACATTTACACACATCCATGCCTTCTTCGGGATTCAAACCGAAGTCTTTCGGTACCGCAGTCATCCTCGATAACCACCATCACGGTTGGATGCCAGTCCTGTTAGCAGAGCCGGTTACCCCATTTCATTATTCGTTTCGTAATATTAATCATGCAGACGTTCCAAGAGTAGCACGTAAAGTCACAAAATAATTATTCCTCAAATAATTAATGCAAATTTAATACACTATGTATACAATCGTTGGCACTATGTATGCACTATGTATACAATCGTTGGCACTATGTATACAATCATTTGCATTATGTATACAATCGTTGGCGATCTATTTACAGCTTCTTTACGCTTTGTGTTTATATAAATCATTGAGAGCATACAAATGTCGCGATTAGTTTGTTATCAAGTCTAGTCTTGATATTAGTCTGTTTCATCTTTATGAAGCTTAAATGTGGATAGTGCTAGCTATCTGAACTGAAATATAGATAGTGCAAGCTAGCTGAAATTCCTAGTGTTCTACAGGTTAATTGATGTTTTACACGATAGCACTATTTGTTGTTAAGAAGGTGATCTAGCAGATTTCTCTATTTGGGTGTAATTTCAGATTATTTTAGGAGATTATTTATATAAAGATTTCAGATTATTTATATAACGATTTTATTATTAGGAGTGATATGCTTTCTCTCCTTAAATCAGAATATTTTTCAGTGACCCAATCTTGTCTGAGAAAGGAAGGATATTGTTGTCCCGTTTTTTTCCCTTTAATTTAGTCTTGAGTGCCTACATTATACAAGGGCATAAGTTGTTTTCGGGGAGTTTAATGCGCTATTTGTTTATCAGCTTGCAACTTTTGAGATGATGGGTTGAATCCCCCTGCTCCACATATACAGTCCCCTAAGAGAACAAATGTTGCTCTAAAGGATATGTAGACAAGGGACCATGGACTTTTATAACCCAGTTTATCAAATTATTAATTTTAAAGCAGAATCATTTAAATTATGTTTTAGCTTTCTAATCTCGAAAGCAATTAGATCTAATCCATAAAAGCTTCGCGAATTGTGTATTATAATTTTATATTGATGACTAAGTTAGTATTTTATTTTTATTTCATTTGAAGTATTTTTAAACTTGAAACATTAAGTAAAGGTGGCAACATTAAGTATCCAAATTTGTATACGAAATTTCCAAAACCTAATTTAGTTAAAGATGCTAGGCATTAAAATGTGTCAAAAGTTTTGGCATATTTTGACATTTTAAAAGTACCTGAGACCTTGACTGCTGTGGTGTTGTATGTAAATCACTATTTAACTAGATACTTTCAGGTAACAAAATCAATGCAACATGTGCCCAATACTTGCTGGCTTAAAACTATATCTAGTATATTGTGTTTCAACCCTAATATAGGGAAAAATACTTAACTTACCCAAAAATAGCATGAGCCTCTCAGTTTGACAAATTCATTTCTTAATTTCACTTTATTTAATTACTTAAGCATTATCTGAGATAAACACATAATATAAATATCATAGCACACATAAATATAAAAACTGCGCAGTTTTGTGAAAATTGAAAGCAAAGCTAAATCTGATGTCATCGTTCACTTTTCTTGTTTGAAATATCTCAACGTTTGGCACACACATTCTGGATGTTGTTTTACACGGTTACCGCCGAAAACATCGCGGCAAAAACATCGCGGACGAAAACTTCGCGGAGAAAACAACGCAAGACGAAAACGTAGTGCTACAAAACATCGTGGGAGAAAACATCGCAGTTCTAAAACATCGTGGTACAAAATATCGTCGTCGAAAATCATGGTAAAAAATAAAAGTACCTAGAAATGCGTTCTTCAGGCATTAAATAAAGGTAACACACAAAACGTTAAAAAAAAACCCATATGGACGTAATTTAAAATTTGAAACTGTTCAGATTTTTTTGGGGGGTGAGGGGTTTGTATTATTTTTATATTTTTTATTAACTAATAAATATCAGTTGAAAATGTAAAATCGAAACTTAAGCAAAGAAAATCAATGCAACTTATAACACTTACTAGAATTTTAAACTGACATAATTTAAACAAAGGTCATTAATAAATTATTTTTTATAAAGTTTTACTTGCAATTCTTCATGGAAAGTATAATCTAAAAAAGAATAGAAAAAGGGAGATAAGTAACTGCATGGCTTTATCTACAAAAAATTGCTAATTATGACATTATTTTTTCCCCTTTGTTAATCTGATACTCTTATATAGAAAATTATTTCTTGTTTTGTTTAAATTTCTTGTTCTGCTTTTTTTTAATATTTATTAGTTAGTATAAAATATGAAAGTAAAAATTATCCTTCTTTCCATATTGCGCTCACAAATCGTTATGGGAGTATCCATTTACAATTATTAAAGCATGTCTGCGATGTTACTGAAAAAAGCATATATGACCATTACTGAAAAAAGCATGTCTGCGATGTTAGCGTCATGTGATGATTTGTCGATACTTTATCTCTTGCCACGATATTTTCGACGACGATGTTTTTAAACTGCGAAGTTTTTGAACCGCTTTATTTTCTCCGACGATGTTTTGTAGCACAACGTTTTCGCCTTGCTTTGTTTTCTCCGCGACGTTTTCGTCCGCGATGTTTTCGGCTGCAACCTTTTCGGAAGCATTTGAAACATTGCTTACCCACGTTTTCATTCTTTTATTTATTTAGCGCTTAAGCATTTCGTATTAGTGCTTGACAATTACGGTAACCCTAATTATGGATGAACTATGTTAAATATTCTTCAGAGTATACATTATTTTAAGAGTGTCCAGAAATATTTTCTAAGCGAAACATTGTTTAAAGATAATAAGCATATTTTTTAATTTTCCCTAATAAAAATGATATTTCAGGATTCTTGAATTAACAAATATTCATTACATACCAAGCTATCAAATACCTGTAGTTTTTTTTTAATAGTATAAACAGTTTTTTCTAAGTTCTGGAAACCTAGCCAAAAATTTAGTGTTGTCCAGATTCATGACATACTAGCGTAACATCAGAAATCTTTAGAAATTTAGGTATATTTTTTATTTCCCAAATTTTCTTTAATGCAGTCCTTTAGCAAATTTCCCATTTAATTCATCATGCTTATCCCAAAAGACTCAATTTTTAAGCGGTCCTAAGAAATTTTTCTCCTGTGTTTTTATCAAATGTAAAATAAAAGGCTCCTAGAAGACGGTTAGCAGTTTTTAAGGTTTCTTTAATTTCATTCTACAAGAATAAAATGTTTGCTCTGCGCATCTGCCATAGTTGCCAAAACACTGAAACAAAATTTTCCTTTTATCAGTCAGATAACTGAATAGGACTAAACAGTATTGCAGCAGATAGCTTCATAACAATGTGAAGATTTGTCTCTGGCTGATAGTATTGGCTTTAAGTTCTAGAAATTGAAAGCTCAATTCCTAGAACTTTGCTAACATCCCACGCATTCATATACACAAGCTGTATTTTTTTATTACCTGTTGCAATCCTGTACATGTGTTGAAAAACAGCTACCAAGAATGAATTAAAGTTTCCCAAATTTAAATGACATAGTAATCAGTATTAAACTTAAATTAAACATAGTGTAAAACGTAAATGTTGAATACAAAGGAATAATAATCAAATAAGCTTTAGATTTTATCTCTCAAAGAAATATATGATAATTTGAAGTGTAAAACTTTAGGCAAAATCATCTTAAAATTGATGTATGTTTCTCTTATATATTTTGTGTGGGACACATCTGAGATTTGTTTGTTAAATAATCCTAACAAGAAGGCAGAAACACTACCTATACCTTTCCTAGATGTTTTTCCTCATCTAGAGATAACAACGTAATTCTAATGAAGAAAGAAATAGAAATTTCTATAACTCTCCAAATAGAGTATTCGAAGACCTGATAAAAACTAAAAAACGGAATTTTTATCAGATTACTTTCCTAAAGACTATTTCATTGAGTAAAACAAGTTTTGAAAAGTTCTAGGATGAAATATGATTTACTTTACTATAATTTTCACAAAGACGTTAATCTGTAATTTTGGCGTTTCATTGCAAATCATGTGTTTTCATCTATTATTTTCAATGTAACTTTTATCACTTTCAATTTACTATCCTACAAAAATCTCCCTCTTATGTTATTTAGTTTTTCTCAGGTCTTTTATCTCAGTTTAATGAAAATATTGTCACTGATTTCAGGTAACTCGTTAAGTGCGGATTCCCATGCATAATCTTGTACACTGACTACCAATAAGTATTTGGAATAAGTATTTGGACACCTGTGATAGAAAAGTAAAACTAACTTTATTCAAAATCAATAGTTGGTAGAGCCTCCACAAGAGGTAATTACAGCGTGGACCCTCCGGGGCATACTTTTCACAAGTCTGTATGACAGCTAGTGGTATTTTTTTCCACTCGGCTTGGAGAAGACATAGAAGTTCCTTCACCGATTTTGCACGGGTTGTGAGTCCCTGAATTCGGCAATGCAACTCGTCCCAGAGGTTCTCAATAGGGTTCAGGTCTGGACTCTGGGCAGGCCAGTCCTTTCGATGAACTCCATTGGCACCATACCAAGCCTTCGTTAACGTCGAAACATGACAACTGGCATGAAAGTAACAGGGGTCCAACCCGTAAACCTGCCACAACGTAGGAAGCACGTTGTCATCCAAAATAGTGCAGTAGGCATCGGAGTTGAGCTTACCATGAATGGGGACCAAGGGTCCCAGCCCATACCAGGAAAAACACCCCCAGACCATAATTTCACCTCCGCCGAAATTGACTGTTGGCACAATGCATGCTGGCAGGAGACGTTCTCCAGGTAGACTCCAGACTCAGACCCTGCCATCCGAACGGTAAAGGGTGAACCTTAATTCGTCACTCCAAAGAACCCGTTTCCACTGATGTACGGTCCAATTTCGATGTGCTTTGCACCACATTAACCGAGCAGCGCGGTTGGACTTTGTGATCAAAGGCTTATGGGCAGCAGCACGACCATGAAAACCAAGCAGATGTGCTTCCTTACAGATGGTATTCATTGAAGCAATACTCCTGGATGCCTGTTGAAACTCCTCGCGAATGAGGGCCATCGGTTGGGTGCGGTTCTTCCGAATTTCTCTGGACAGCACTCGTCGGTCTCTATCTCCCAGTTTCGTTAGTCTGCCGACTCGGGGAACATTCCGACCCTAACCGCTCACCTTCCACTTCTTAATCACATAGGCCACTGTCGATTTTGGGTACTTCAGATCGCTAGATATGCCCCTTAAGGATCGGCCAAATTTGTGATACCCGATAATTATACCTTTCTCGAAATCAGAGAGCTCCGAACTGCGAGGCATCTTGCATGCGACTAAAGCCGATGCTGTTTCCTACACGATATATACCGGCGGAGTCCGTGACGTAACTTAGGACCGCAGATATCGTCATTTGCATAGGTGTCCAAATACTTATTGGTATTCACGTAATATCACATATCATGCATCATTGAATGTCTCATATAAACTATACTGCATATGTATGTCACTTAAAGCACTAATTCTGGCAAAGTACTTATCTGCCATGGCCCTTGTTTGGCATTTTTTTTATTTTAATTTTAATTTTATCTTAATTCATTTTTTTATTTATTTATTTCTATTACATGACATTCAAAATATATGCTGGGTCTCGGCGACTGTTCTGAGGATTTCGTGTGGCCCATTCCCTTCCCCATACCATCTTGGGTTACTTTAGATAAAGGGGGACGCGGTGCTATACCAATTAACCGCTATGGTAGAGAGATGGTGCTCGCGTCCTCCGTCACTAAACTAAACTAATACTTATTGGTAGTCAGTGTAATAGTAAAGGCAAACTACTTCCATTGGGGTAGGTTATTACTCTTCACTTATTATAGGGCACAGGCTAAGATTTTAAGAATGATTAGATTAATATTGCCTTTTAATCCAAAAGAAAATGCTGGATATTCAATGATTGCATACAGTAAAACTTACTTTCACATTTGTCACCTTTTTCTCCATATCCATCTTTACAATTGCAGCTTTTACCGCCGTAATAACCAAACGTACAGTTAAAGCCGCCTTCACCACAGTTGCACTCTATAAATGAAAGCATAAATACAGTCAGCTGCCTATTTGTTTATTGTACAGTTACAATGTAATTTTAACCTATTTATCTGTTATATAGGTGATATATTATTAATTATATAGGTACAATGCATCTATTATTTAGGCCTCAAATTTGTCAATCAGGTAAAGAACTCAAAATCTCAAATTAAATCAAATAAAATCTCAAAATACCTTCATTAAAAATTTTAAAATATAGAAACGCATAAAACGCCAAGCACACTTAAAACAATTAAAAAACAATTTTTTATAATTAAAATTAGAGTTTCTTAGCAAGAACAAGCAATTCTACCAGCAGGCAAGAGGACAGATTTTTGGAGCAAAAAACTGAAAGTTTACTTTTGGTCCCATTCGGCAAAAAAACCAGCTGCAGAAGCTGACTTAATTCACTATTCTGCTAAGTTTCAAGTGTAAACAAAAATGGCTGCTATGGTTAAAAAAGAAATTAGCTGCAATTAGGCGAGTTTTAAACTGTTGATAATTCTATAACTATTGCATGCAGATTAGCTAAAGGTTTTAAAAACCTTATCAACCAACCTTTGGATTCCACTTTCCCATTCTTAGATACATTTGAATGATTGTTTTTGCGGACGTCTGTACTTACTGATAGAATAAAGGACTTTTTCCGAATATGGAAATGTAAAATGGATTCAGAAGAGACGTTCCATGACATCTATACGTACATATATATGTATATATGTATCTGGCTTAACCCCAAAACGAGTAGCCTCAGGACTTTGAAATTTTGTATATGGGACTTCTGTAGTATATAGTTGTGCATTCCCGTTTTGTTTGCAATCGGCCTTACCAAAAGTATGTATACAAAATCCACTCTGGTACTCGGCTTGGTGAGCTCAGTTTTTATCCCTCTTAAACGTTTGCAAATTGCGCATTTTTTGCTTTAAAAATAATTGATTTAGTTGCTCTTATGTTCCGGTTGTTACTGAACCTTATGACGCCGCCATTGGTTCACATTTGAAAATCTTAGTAGAATAGTGAATTAAGCGGTGAGATAAGCATTCATAATGACGCGCCTTACTTCATGGATCTGCCGTTGTTTTCACAAGAGTCCCTTGAATTTCAAGACCATAATCAATGTGCCTCAACCAGTAAGGTCCTCTTTTCGGGAAATATTTCTCACAGCCGATGGCAAAGCCAGGCTTAGGAGGTATTCTTTTACGAGAAAAGATAATGTTGTTAGTGAAAGTGCCTGTGGGGGTGTTGGCCTTCTAACCTCCCATGACTATCCGTCGACTGATTTTACCTCGGACAAAGCAATGATAGAGTTCACAACGCAATGAAGAAAGAAACAGAAAATAGCCTACTCGAGAACCTGAAAACATTTGAAAACGAAATTTTAATCTCATTTACTCGTATATCAAAGCAGAAGAGAAACATCTAAACGTAAAGAAAAAAAATTAGGCAAAGCAACAACTTTGTGTTAGGCCTAAATTTTAGCCAAGACTCTACCGATTCCGAGAGCAACAGGTACAGGCTCCTGCTGATCAGGAGCAAAGAATTCTGTGCAACTGTCTCAACTAAATGAGTTTAGTAGCAAGCAAAGGATTTAGATAAAAAACATTGAGAAAACAAAATACATAATATAAAGAAGAAGCCATTTTTTAATTCGCCAGGTGACATGACTTACCATGTGGAGGGAAACGAGCAGAAAGGAGTAACGACAAACAGAGGTGCTGAAATCCCATTCATTGCGAATTTACATTGCTCGACATTGAAAATGCAACACCAAGAAGGAGTGGTTAGAATTTTTTTCAAATTTTAGAGTAGAAGCACGTCACTGTGTTATGCGAATGACGTGAAATGCGCAGCTCTCCGACGCACGTGAAGTAAGATTTAGGGATGGAACGTGCAGAATGGGCAATATTGGTGTCGTTATTTCTGCCAGACGAATTATCGAAGAAAATTGGTTTTTGTCCCAGAGGATACGTGTAATGGGAGCGAAGGCCAGAGCGCCGTCAACGAAGGCACATCTAGCAGATAGACGGTTTTACAAGGGTATGGCGATCGGACTGATAAGGGAGGGTTGGTTCTTAAGTCAAATCGCAGATGATACCCACATAGATGCTAGCACGGTGCATCGGCTATGGCGAACATGGTTGGAACAAAGAAACGTGGGAAGAAGGAGGGATGCAGGTGCAGCCAGAGTGACGTCAGCACTCGTGGATCGACGCATCCGCCGGACTAGAGTGATGTGGATGACAGAATGGCGAAACGTCGTGTTCTCAGATGAGTCACGCTTCTGTTTATCCAGTGACAATCGCCGCATACGTGTGTGGCGTCCACGTGGAGACAGATCTAATCCGGCACTAACTGTCGAACGCCCCACCGCGCTACAGCGAGGCATAATGGTTTGCGGCGCTATTGCCTACGATTCCAGGTCACCTCTAGTTCGTATTCAGGGCACTATGACAGCCCAACGATACTTGAATAATATACTGCGGCCGGTGGCAATCCCCTACCTTCAGGGACTGCCTAATGCAATTTTTCAGCAGGATAACGCCCGACCACACAGTGCTTGCATCTGCTAACATGCTCTGCAAGGTATACAGATGCTTTCCTGGCCACTGTACTCTCCTGACCTGACACCAATCGAACATGTGTGGGATGTGATTGGACGCTGTTTGCGGACTCTGCCCCTGCCGCGTTCAGAAGACGAACTGTGACAAATGATTGAAAGGGAATGGAGAGCCATCCCTCAGGACACCATTCGCACTCTTGACGCTATGCCTAGACGTGTTTCTTCGTGCATCGCTGACCGCGGTGGTCGTACATCCTACTGAGCCGACGCCGTTCTCGCTCTGTATTCTGACTATCATTTCGAAATATAGATCACTTATTGCTGCTTGCTTCTCTGTCTTTTTTCCAAATTTCATCACTTTCTGACGCTGGTTGTCCCTGTTTGCCCTCGAAATCTGAAGAGACTTGACTTGATCAACGCAGAGACTTGATCAACGCTAAACAGAATGTTTTTGTTTGCCTGATTTTTATTCCAGTATTGTGTTATCGTTGTAATTATCATAGAGAAATTACAAGTTTCGCGTTTCATTGTATCTTTGTAAGAATATCTTATTATTTCTATTTAACGACGTGGTTTAAGGAAAACATTCTCAGCGGTTTCAGTTAATTCGTTAAATCGGGATTCGAATGTACTACTTTTAATTGTAAGGAAACAATTTGTTCTATTGAAGTAAGTTATTACTATTACCTGATTAATGAGCAAAGCCTAAGATTTTTAATAATGATTAGATTACTAGCAGTGATGGGTATTCAATGATTGCATGCAATTTAACTTACTTTCACATTTTCCACTTTTATCTCCATATCCTTCTTTACAAATACAGGTTTTTCCGCCGTAATAACCATACGTACAGTTAGAATCTTCACCACAGTTGCATTCTATAAATAAAACGAATGATTAAAGTTATCAGCTTTTATTAGAGAAATATATAAGTACATATATCTACATGTTAGAAAGATAAAATGTATAATTTAGATTAGCAATAGCTTGGTTGCCCCCTCTCGTGTCTAACACATGTCATATGATTCTTAAGTAACGCTGGTGATGTAAACAGAACTAAAACAGGCAAGAATAATTTTATGCAGTATTTTATCCAATCAAATGCATTGTGAACGGAAGCTAATTCATTGCGGATCAAGATTTCATACCTGAACACAACTTATAAAGTATTTCTCATGTCTTCTTAGCATACCTTAGTAGTGCGGTCTGCACGCTGCGCGCGTATACCAGAGGCCCGTGGTTCGATTCCCGGCAAAGGCGTTGCTCATTTTTCATCTCTTCTGCTTCCAAAATGTGCCTAATGTCTCTACAACCTTACTCTCTATCTGCACTTCCGCCTGGATAGATTGCTGCTTGCTGCTTCCTGTTCACATTTTACTGCAAAGCTATTAAAAAACTAAGCGTGTTTGAAATAGGTACGAGCAGTGTGCCATGTTGTTTGTGACCGCGACATATTTTTAAAATAAAGATAAAAAGTTAATTTAAAATAAGCATGAATGCAGGAGATTAAATAATAAAAATAAGGATAAGGATAAGGATTCTTAAAAATATTTTTAGGAAATGGCATGCGAGTATTATTACTTCCTTGTGCGAAGTAAAAAGGAAGTATTGTAATCGCGAAATGTTTTAGGCAGCATATTTCAACGAAAATATACATTTTGACCGCTATCGAATGCAATTTAACGATGTTTCTGCGTGATATCTGTACATAAGGACAGAATAAAAGACTCGTTTCCTCCAAAAAAATAATAAAACTGCTTTAAAATTAATTCTGAAGAGAATTTTTCGTGGCGTCTGTACGAACGTATGTACGTAACTCAAAAACGAGAAGCCTCAGAACGTTGAAATTTTGTATATAGACTGCTATAACATGTAGATATGTACCTCGTATTTTGGTTGCAATCGACCGCACCAAACGTATATAAATATATTTATATATATATCCACTCTGTTACCCGGCTCAGTGATCACAGTTTCTTTACTCTTATATTTTGTAAATTGTACATTTTTTGCTTTAAAAATGATTGAATTATGTTGTTTTTATCTTCCGGTTACGGGTTTTATGCCTTTAGTAAATCTGTATGGAATATTTTTAGAATTATCAACAATTTTAAAGTTGTTTAAGTGCGGCTAAGCCTAATAATATTTTTGATGGCGGCCTTTGCTTGTTTACATTTGAAACATCAGGATAGTGGATTTGTTGCCATTCTAGAGAAACTTAGCTTCGCAACAGCAAAGATAAAACGCCTTAATTTATTACTGCGAATTAAATCATACATAGTTCTTTCTGGAATTTTTTGAGGAAATAAGTGTTTAAGAACTGATTCGTAATATTTAATATAGATCTTTTGAGTTTTTATGTATTTTTGCCTTGTCGCGAAGTGAGAACTGAATAAATTGAATGAGAAATACTGAATCGTCTGTGAAAAACTGTTCCTTTTTTGTTTTGTTTGCTTAATTTATTTCATACATCGTTCTAGCTTTATTATAGTATTTGAATAGCATGTGGCAACGATTATATAATTCTTTAAATGATATAAATTTTGTGCATTCTGAGTTATATAATATGAACGAAACATAATACTGTTAACTGAATCCAGCCAGGGTGTCGGTATGGTAAAAAAATAGAGTGATTTTTAAAGAGTGCATTTATTCTATTGTGGTTTATGCGCTGTCGACGAAGTAGATATAATTCAATCTAATACGTTTAAATTAAATCCATGAAAAATGCGTATAATTTAATATTCCGTACAAGGAAGTTATGTGGTGTGCACATCAAATTTTTTTTAGCGTTATATATTGTGTTATTTATTTTTACATGCGGGCTTCACGAGCAGGGCGAAATCATTGCTGATATTTTGGCGCAAATTTAAAATCTCTAAATATAATTGGGAGCCGCAATAGCAAAGAATTACCAAACATTGAGAGCACTGAATTGCTAAATTACGTATAGAAATAATGTTTCACTGAATGCGGATTCAATTAGTACCTTACCAATTAACAGTACTAACCGAAATATACTAGTACGTTGTGCTTTAGGATACTATTCTTAATCTGATGCATTATTCTACGCCGATTTTCAAATGCGTTTTGGCCAGTTACCACACTACAGTAATTTGTTGACTTTTTAATTTTCGCAGTAGTTTACCTGATTGGTTTTGTTTATTTAATTATGGCAAAGCCTTCCAAAGCTATCTGCCTAATGGTGGGAATGCCTTTTTAAAGAACTTTCTAAGGAAAATTGGCTCGTATACACGTTACACATTAGAGCAATACGAAAACGCCCACGCAGTCAGCCCATTCCCTGGGATTCGAACCCAGTGCCGAGCTACCAGTGTTCAGCAGGTTCATCGCTCGGTTGCTGGTGGACCGAAAGCGAAGAGAGAAATTTCTTTTGCGTTGTTTATGAATATTTTATTTACGAATTACATGAGAATTCCAAAAAAACTGCAAGAATTCATCAGTTTGCATGCATTGTAATGCTTAGTTATCTGTACGATATGTTTTAAATAGTTGTTGGTATTTTATAATATCCACCAAAACGGTTTATAGTTAATATGAGAATATAGCCTGATGCCCAAGGTAAAACAAATTTTTCTGTCTCTTACTCTGCAAATATGAGACTTCCTGAATCCTAGAAAGATATCAGACATTTTCTTTACATACAAGGATTGTATTTGCATACAAATAGAAACAATTTTTCGCTTCTTGCTAAAGGGCCCACTAGAGGCCAAGCGGTAAAGTCGCTGAACGTTGGTAGTCCGAGGTTCGAATCCCGCGAACGGGCTGGCTGCATGGGCGTTTTCGTGGTTTTCCCCATGTGTAACGTTTATGCGAGCCAGTTTCCTTAAAAAGTCCTCCACGAAGGATCCCTCCCCTTAGGCAGATAGCCCTAGAATCTTTGCCAGAATCACACACACACACGCTTCTTGCTAAAATATATAACTTATTAGTCACTTACCTATTTCGCAATTCGTTCCAGAATATCCGGTCTTGCACTCGCATTTATAAGCTCCCAAAGTCTTCGTATCTTCTTTACATTCACCATCGTTTTGACAAGGTTGTGAGTGACATGGGTCTGGATGTGAATAAGGAATATTAACATTTTTAGACAAATGAATATTCATAACCATTTAATAAACAATATTTACCTACTAGCACAACTATTTTAAGAGAAAGAAAGAAATGATGATTTAAAATCTCTAAAGAATATTCATTATATATGTATAATTACATTATATGAATAAATACTGTTTCGAAATGCCCAGTCGCGGTAAGATAACTTTCCCGCAAGGCGGGTTTAAGGTTGCCTGAAAATGGCAAAGGAAAGCACGGTTGCCATACTTTTCGCGAAATCTCCCATTCGGCGACAAAATTGGAGATATACTATGGACGGACAGACAGCATTCTCAAACGTATTCTTACCGGTTTGGCCCAGAATGTTCTCGAAGGCAGGCCAAAAGCTACATAAACCCTGCCTGTACCAGTAGCAGTGCTTATGTTGCGCGTGCTGAGCTCCGAAAGCGATCGAACCATCTCGACAGCTGTACTTTAGTGTTTTGCCGTGAAGCTGTCTTCACCGTTATAGCCTGAGAGCTTGAAGGCTGTGCTGCTGATTATTTGAGCGTGTTTGTCGTAGTTTTTCGACGACTTTAAACGGGATTTTGGAAATGTTCTGAGTAATACTGGCTAAATAAATTGTGTTTTGATTCTTAATCAAGTATTATCTTCAATCACTCCAAATCCACGAAGCCGTAGAACGCAACCATATATTAATACATGAATAATTATATTAATATGTTATACATATATACATATACAATTTAACTTTTATTAGACATTTATCTCACAATTCAATGAATTAAGTATTGCGTCTGAGAGTTTTGATTTCCTTTTGCCCTAGTAGAAATTTTATGGCGTTTACTTTTATAAAACAGAAGAAAGAAAACTTTTCCTTTAGTGAATTATTAGGAAGATACTACATTCTTTCAAAAGTTTTATCGAAATTTTTTCCCACTGCAGGCAAATCCTACGAGCGTATATTTTGAAAATTTTAAGACGAGACATACTACGGTTTAAATAAACTGATCGAAACCCTTGAAATTTAAGAACTTAGATTTGAAACCTCTGAAATTTAAATCAAAATAAAAAAAGAAAATGACGACATTCTTTGTTAAAGCTAAAGAAATGTTATACTCATGATTACTCATGTTATACTCACGTTATACCCATGAGTACAAGAAATGTTATAGTCATGATTGCAAAAAGTTGGCGCAGGCGAGTACTACTACTATTTGCCGCTAATATCAAAGTATCCAATCAACTATATCATACGAAGCTGTGTTGTATCCTTGATTGATTTGATAAAAATCTAATTACTTTGTTTCTCCTTTTACTTCCTTGCACGAAGTAAAGGAAGTATTGTACTAGCGAAAAATTACGGGTATCGTATTTCAACGAAAATATCTATTTTGACCGCTCTCGATTCCATATGAACGATGTTATTGTGTTACATCTGTACGTACATGCAGAATAAAGAACACTTTTGGCCGAAACAGAATGTGAAATGAATATGAAATGGATTCAGAAGAGATTTTTTTCCTTGAAGTCTTTAAGTATGTACGCATGTATATCGCATAACTAAAAAACAAAAAACCTCAGAACGTTAAATTTTGTATACGGGATTGCTATAACATGTAGATGTGCCTTTTTTGCTGCAATGTGCATTTTTTACTTTAAAACTGATTTAATTATATTGTTGTTATGTTCCGTTTAAGGTTTTTATACCTTTAGTTAATCTGCATGCAATAGTTGTAGAATTATAAAAAAATTTAAAGTTGTTTAAGTTCCACTAAGCCTAACAGCGTCGCCATTCGTTTACATTTGAAACTTGGGAGCATAGTGAATTAAGTCAGTTTCTGAACCAACCTCACTGTCTTTTTGCTGAGGGGGGCCAGAAGATTTATGCCTCGAAAAATCTTTCTGCCTAATTTTAATTTCAAAAATAGTTTTTTTTTCCTTTTTTTTTTTTTTTTTTTTTTTACGGGTTTAACTATATTTGGTATTTTAGGTTTTTCTATATTTAGCAATTTTTAATGGAAATGTTTTGAGGTTTTAGAAAATTACATTTGTGGTTTCCTAGCCGCCAAGTAAGAACTAACTGAACTGATTGAATGAGAAACATATCTCTAATGAAATTCGGGGGAAAACTTTAAATGAAATGCAGCAAGAAATGTTCATAACTTAGCAATCCGGACAAGGAAGTCATGTAGCATACACATCAGAATTTTTTATTATTGGTTACCTATTTTCAGAATTAAACATTTCTCATGAGGAAAGAGAATTGCGCCAAAGTAAAACATAAAACGAGGCATAGAAACAACTTTCTGTTGGCGAAGATAGTATTTAAAAATCTATCGATTTCGAGGGCAAAGAAATTCTGCTAAATGAGGAACAAAATTTCTTTACTCCTGATAAACTGCGACCCCTACCTATTTAGCCTTGAAGTCTTAATTAAAATCAACGGCATACAGAATGGACTGGAGGACAGGGAAATAGGGTACCTTTATTTAGCATAATCAAATATTGTTAAAACAAGGCTAAATAATGTGGATGTCCTATAAATAAACTTCTTCCTTTACAGTGTTATAATATGTTAAACAAAACGTGCTACTAACAAACATTTGGAAAGATCAAACATAATTACTTCGAAAAGATAAACACGCTTTTGCTGATAATGTAACTGTTCCATCTGATACGTTTTAAGTGCGGTTTTACAATAGACTTTTCTGTACATAAAACTGCTAATATTACCAGTTTTTGATGTAGTGCTGTACTTCATGAAGCTGCACATGCTGATACAATTCGGAATGTTTATTTTTGTATGTTAAATAAACATGAGTCACATTACACGTGAGTGAAAGTAAACCGTTATTTGATGTACCATTGGACGCTATACTATTTTTAGAACTCTAACATATAAACATGATTTAGAACGTTCTTGTGAATCTATGAACGATATTTATCTGATTATGTACCAATAACACCGGTATTAAATGTGTTCTTGTACGTTGTAGAACATTAATACACAAACATGAGTTTGGACTTTCTTCTAGAATGTTGTCGATACGTTCTACAACAGTTTTAGCAGTATGTTTTTTAAATGTTCTCATGGTAATTGGGTATCAAAATAAAGTTATGCAAATAAAGGCTTAAATAAATGTTACTGGTACAAATTGCGATAGTGAATGCAACCCTTCATAGAAGGTATAAAACAGTATGTCCAACAAATATTAATTTCAAAGTTCTCTTAATTTGGTTGACACGAAATCTTTTTCAGATTTGCAACTTACAGAAATATTACTTGCGTAGTATGTTTAAGTACTTGAGTTCAGTTGAAATTATAAAATGAATTCCTTTAATAATGGCATTAAATAAACCGTTAGAGCAACGTATTTTCTTTGTCAATTAAAATAGACAGTTATAAATATATTATATCAAGACACTTATAATAGCCATAATAGATAATTCTCCTTATTCTCAACAATTCTCATTTACGCTCCGCAAAACTCCAATAGTTTTCTTCTTGTGCTTTGGCTTCGTTATGCAGAAATGTAAACACGGTACATTTTTCACTGACAAAGTTCCCTACGAATAAATCACTTCCTGTAAAGAAGTACCCTACTGCACTTTACAATAATAAAATAAACTGGATTAATAAAATATGGCATTATTCATAATTTATAAAAAGTTTATTTTATCATTGTTCAAATATTCAGGTTTCCAAAATATCAAGAACTGAACTGAAATCAATAACATGGATATAACGAGGTCTATCTATGTAGACATAGGACAGAGAACATGGAGGGCAGAGAAGACAGAAGACAGAGGAGGGAGGGCTTCAAAGAGCATTTTTTAAAGAAAATTGATTCATATTTTCATTACGTATGCAGAAGCTGGGAAACACTTATGGTATCAGCCTATTAGCCTCATTTCAAATCGAAGTACATTTATCTGATTTAAACGGTATTATTCGCTTCTGGAGAACTCTTTAATTTCAAGAAATGATAAAAACAAAAGTTAATATTCTAAGAAACGTTTTCTCAATTAAAAATTATTAGTAAATGTTAACCTACCATTAGGTCCTATGACTTCAGTCGAATTCAGGCCTGGACCTTCTGAAGCTTGATATAAGTTCCCATTTCTGTTGAAGATGTTCAAGATTTTCTCCTTTAGTGATTTTGTGTCTGAATGGTTTTCTTGTGCGGTAATTACAACGAAAAGAAGCGAGCAAAGGAATAGTTCGAAAACAATACGAGCCATTACAATTTTTAAATCCTCCACTCCGTTTCTAAAACGATTTGTAACCGCCGAGTATATATACAGAAAATTAAGTATTTGATGTTCTTCCTTTTTAAATCAAGTGTGTGAGTTCAAAGAAATTTCGCATTATTCTCGATTTGTATTGTGTTTTTATCAGCATCTTGATAAATCTTTTCATTTTTATCTATTTATATCACTTTAGAGAAAGGTGCAATCAAAATAATACATATGATACTTACTGTTATTTATTGTGAAGGTAAGTGTTAATTCAGAAGCTTTCAAATAGTTGTGGGATATCACCACTCTGAAAGACGTTACAAAGTTCCCATACTTATACATTGGGGGTGTAAACTATACAGGGTGCATAGGAAAGTCCCTTTAACCTGAAAATTCTTGCGAACGGAGAGAGCTACAGCTATGAAGTGAGGTAACAGTATAGCTAATGCAAATGACAGCAGCGCCCCTAGTGTGCAAATTTAGAAGATAGTCATTGCAAATCGAAAATGAAAAGACAGGTGACAATATAAGGTCAGGCGGCAATTTGTCTCATCCTTGTGATCCAAATATCTTTTCATACTAATTAATTAATGTTTTAAAACGTTCTAATTAGAAATTTTTCTCTACCTGTTTTCAGTTTCGATTTGCAATGCCTGCTTTCAAAATTTGCCACTATGGGCGCTGCTGTCGTTTGCATCAAGTCGGGCGTAGTCATTTTACTGAAGCTCTCTTCGCTGGCAAGAATTTTCATCTTAAAAGGACTTTCTTATGTACCGTGTACATCTATTATTTATAGTCTGATATATTTAACATTTAATGTTTCTTTTAAAAAATTTAGAAATGCATATATAATCAGTTATGATATTAATTCAGTCGTAGATCCGTATACTTACAAGAATAGCAGGAATCACATTTAAGAACTATTCTAAAAAACTATCATAGTTAAGTCTAATATTTAAGAACTAATCCTGAAACTCTGCTAATGACTCTAAATGGTTTCACTCAATAGAGTTTTAATCAAAAATAAAATTTTTAAATTAAGTATATTCAGCATCGTGCATACATTTTCATCAGAGGTAATCTTGTAGAACTTCGTGAACATAGTTCCATTAGAAGTACAGTTGTACGTTTGAAAGCGATTAATCATATTATAATTTATTTCTCCCGCCTGCTTAGCATGCCTTCGTGGTGTCGTGATCAGTACACTCGAAGCGTATATTCAAGAGGTCCGTTGTTAGAGGTACGGTGAAGGCATTGCACATTTTTCATCTCTCCTGCTTTAAAAAATACCTAATGTTTCTACAATATCTTAAAATACTTTATTTAGATTAAAGCCACAAGCAACGAGTTATCATTAGTTCAAGTGTGCTCAACACGTATGAAAGTCTACAGAAAATTAGCTCCCAAAGTGGAATCGAAAGCATATTCGTTAAATATAAACTAAAATAGCTGCTTAGTTGTACATTAATATCATCTGAGTACTATTGTAGACGCATAGCCACGTTTAAATCTTGCAATGTCATTATGCCTTATCTCATGTAATGTGCTATTTCCCATGAATATTGAACTTTATTTACCATTTATGTATGCTTTTATGTCACCTCATTTGTCGTTTAGTATAATTTTCCTACTTTTCTTTGCTGAGTATGAGGGTATGTCAGTTATATATAGTTACCTATTTACGTCACATGTAGACTCTCTTGCAATTACTGGCATTTCTTTTCATGCTTTGCACTGACTCGTTATCTCCGTGCTTGCACTTCCCTTCGCCTAATTGGCTGATCGGCTACAGCCGTATCACACTGGTTATCTGTCGACTCATCACTCTATTCGTCGTGGACTTACCTACTAGATATGCCTTATTGCTACATTGTGTCTATCACATACAACTATTTGTTCTATCTTAAGTTACCTAAGGCTGCGTTCAGACGGCGGCGTAAAGGGTGTAGAGGCATAGTCATAAGGGTATAAAATATGGGAGTTCCGTTCACACCTGCGAGAACAGTGTGTAAGCCGTGGCTAATGAGAGAAGCTAAATTTGCGCATGCGTGGGTGTGTCTACAACTTTCCAGCGCTGTTCTCCTGCTCGATTGATTTCCCCGCGTTCGCTCTGCTTCTTTTGTGACCGCGAAATCTTCTGTAGAATGCTGCTTCGTTTTAGCTTCTCTCTGATTGGTCGACGCTTATCCCAAACTCGGCGTAAAGTTGAAAACTTTGAACCCTGTGCCATGAGCCCTAAACCAGATTTTGTGACGTAGCACAGACTGGTTGCTTTGGCAACGGAGCTCGGCTTTCACCACTTATGCCCTTTACGCCCTCGTCTGAACGCAGCTTTAGAAGCATCACGTAATCGAAAATCGGCACACAGTTACTTCAGAGCAGCGTCAGAAGCGCGGGAACCTACGTGCGAACAATGTTTGCCTGAGCCAACGATTCTATCTTTTTACAGGGACTAATGGCCCATGCTGTGTAAGAATAGAATTTGGATTTACTAATTTGCAGCCTTGGGTGTTTTCCAAGAGTCTTTCTCCGCAGTGAAAAGAACTCTCCTGCCTAACAGGTGAGGTCAATTCTTGCCTCGCCATGGACTGACTATAGTTACTTTTACGCAGTGGCGTAATTGGCCAGACTAAAGTCAGTTACGTCACACAAGAGGAAATTTTGCAGTGCAGCAACTTAAGTCTTTGAAACCGACTTTCATATTCACTTTTGATGACCGAAATCCAAGTTTCGAACATATTTAGATTGCGTTCATCGATATTTTCTTTTTCATGTTTCCTTTTTAACAAGGGAAAAAAATGAAATTTTTTAATTTTTTATGACAGTTTCAAATAATATCAATTTTGAAGTAAAACTCATCCATTCCTCATACATTTTCAAAATTGTGTGGTTATTTCCTTGGAGTCGTACGTTGAAATCATTATAATGGTTCATTATGTCTGTTAAGAACAAAAGTCTTAAAAACCATTGTTTATCATTGAGTTCGAGATCATTTTCACCCATTTCGTGAAGAAATATTTGTATATCATTAAAAACACTCTACAAATCTATTAAGAACTTTGCCCCGACTTAACCACCGTATTTCAGAATGTAATAACAAATCTCCATATTTCGATTCAATTTCCTCCAAAAAAGCTTTAAAGCGCCTGTGTATTAATGCTGATCGCGCTATTATCATGTTTACGATCTTAACTTTTTCCATTACATCCTTAAGTTGTTGTGCAAATAAATTTTCTTCATGTATGATAAAATGAAACGATAAAAGTGAACGCCAAGTTCATTCTCCCATTAGTTTTACAAATCCAACAGTTTTTCCTCTCATACTTGGTGTGTGTGTGTGATTATGGCAAAGCCTCGAGGGCTATCTGCCAAAGAGGAGGGATGCCTTCGTGGAGGACTTTCTAAGGGAAACCTGGCTCGTATACACGTTACACATGGGGAAAACCACGAAAACGCCCATGCAGCCAGCCCGTTCGCGGGATTCGAACCTCGGACCGAATTACCAGTGTTCAGCGACTTTCCCGCTCGGCCGCTGGTGGGCCATCCTCTCATACTTGGAGCACCGTCAGTTGTTATGGAAAACAATTTACTTTTTAAATCCAATACTTGCCCATTTTTGAAATTTGTAAACTCTTGTACTTGACGAAAAAAATATCAGCGCCTTTGGAGGTGTCATTCATTGAAGCAGAAACGCACAGTTCTTCATTGACATTCGAGCTATTTATTGATGCAAATCTAATAATTATTGCAAGCCTACCAATACTATTTATGTCGGTACTTTCGTCAACTGCAATGCTAATTATGTCACAAGATAACAAATCATTTTTGAACTGTTCATCAATATTCTTGGCCATATCTTCAAAGCGACGCTGGACTGTTCTAGCTGACAATGGCATTTCTTTCATTCTCTCAATTATTTGTTTTTTATTTGCTAAAGTCATTAAATAAGTGTTCGGAACAATTTATGAATGCGTTTTTCAAAAGCTTGCCAGTCTGTAAATGGTTTTCCCGTTGGTACCAATGCTAAGAGCTGCAACAAAGCTGGCAGACGTAGCGTGATTGTTGCTGGTAACAAAACTCTTTTAAGAATTTATTTTGTTTTCCAAAATTTAATACACATTTAGCAATGTATTCAGATTTATCTTCATTTGCCATTTCACTCACATTCTTTATGTTTTGAAGAAAAGTGTCGTTCAATATTATAAGTCCTGGCGGTAATTATATCTGTACATAAAGTACATATCAATTTGTCACCATTTTCGATACATACCCATACTTTTCGTGTCCACACATCTTGAAATAAATCTCTTTTTTTGCTTTTTTTTTTTTTTTTTTTTTTTTTTTTTTTTTTTCATGGTAATTTGTTTAAATAATAATATTTATTTCACTAGGTCACTAGGTCAATATTATTGTGCTACTGTACGACACGTGCTATAACTATAACTGACGTACAAATGAGATAACGACGTGCGCGTCCAAGAATGGTACAATTTGTTCAGTCAATGTCGCTGCATTCCGCATACTATCGGCCGATTCCATATCCAGTCAGGCGTGGGTGGGGCGCGCGTCCAGGAATGGTACAATTTGTTCAGACAATGTCGCTGCATTTTACATACTATCGGCCGATTCCATATCCAGTCAGGCGGGGGTGGAGATTTAACTGACATTTTTATATGTTATATTGGATTCAAATTTGGTACGTTCATAACTTTGCGACAAAAATTTTTTGGGAAAAAGAAAAAAAAAATGTTTGTATATCTTATACTTCATTTTCGAAACTAAAGTGGGTCACTTGAAATTACCAAATGAGTCACTCGGTGACTCACGGGTCATAGGTTGCCGACCTCTGCACTAGATTATAAACAGTTGCTCTAAGGCTGCTATCTACTAGTAATCTTAATGATAATAGCTTTATTTTTCTCTAGTAGTGCTCTTAATGATAATAGTTTTACTTTTGTAACATTATATTTATTCTTATTTTTTTAGTTTATTATTCATTCATTATTTAGTTTATTTTATTAGTTTCGTTTTTATTTTTGTAATATAATCTGAATTTTTTAAAATAATTTCTCTAAGTTGTTTAATTTTCTTAGAATT